AAAAAAAAATCAAAAAATTTTCAAAGACAACCTCTTCAAAAATAGTCCCGTTGTTCCGTTTTTGGGTGGTTTGTGGTCCGATTTTTGAGAAGGCGCGAGTTTTCGACATTCAGAACGTTCATGGCTTCCTTCATAGTAATCTTTTTACTGTTCTTCGAGGCTCATCAGAAGCCAAAAATTTAGGGATTTCAAAATATCATTAAAAACCTACGAAAGGCTACCTTCTTTAAAAATGGCCTCGTTGTTTGGCCTTTTTTCTGCCTCCATGGCTTTTAGGCCATTTTCCTGCAACAGTTTTCAATTTTCAAACATCCATTTTCTTCAAAATTGGTGTAATGAGAAACGGTATGAATCATTTAGACCTGCGAGATCAGTGCTTTATAGCATATGCTAGAGTCTACTGAAGTGCTCCGAACTCTAGAAATGTGCCAATGAAAACCAGTACCGTTACACTTTCTCCCACTTTAGTTTTCTTTGCAAGCATCGATAGCATTCCTCTGAAAGAATCTGCTAGCTTGAGCTCCTAGAATATGAAATGATTTAGCAGTAGCTCCTGCTCTGGGATGCGCATACAGTCGTCTTTGGTGAATAGTCGCAGTGGCAGTTGAAAGTTATCCTACCTTTCTACCTTGCCATACATTCTTACCTTCATATTTTGTGGCTGGTACTTGAGCTTACAGTCCCTCTCCCTTCCACTGCTGGCTACGACCCCCTCCCTCCCTCTGCTATTGATCTTTGCGCAACGGGCGGTTGGCCCTCCTTGCCACCAGTTTCATCGCTCAGCGTCGCGCGCGCGGTGTGTACATTTTGGCATGCGCTCAATCGGATGCATGCCAAATATAGCAAGCTTAGCGTGAAGGTTATTTTCATTGTGGTCCTTTGTTTTTCCAGAATGTTTGTTCTTTAAGCACTCCAGTCAAAATTATGCACAATCATGAAGATTACCAGGGCAAATGATTGAGTCAAGCCGGCGAATGAGTGTATATTTCTATACGCGCCTTCAACGCTGAGCTCATCCGCTTTCCTTATCCGCTGAACTTTTTTTAAAAGGAATCATGAAGCAGAAAAGCGCAGCGGCAGCGGTCTAAACTAGTACGTTACTCAACAGCCATGGGAACAGTTGGATCCCGTTCCAAGAATTTGCGAGCAGCTATCAAAAAAATTGTTTATGACCGCACATCAGATCTGTAAGACAGGCACTAAGTGTTTCGCTTCAAACAAGTGGGATGTTCACATCAGAAAGCTACCTACCTCTCCAAGTAAATTCCTACCCAATTCTCAAACTTCAGCCTCACTTCGAAAATTGAGACGTTCACTTACCCATCATCACCGGATGCTCGCTTGTTTTGCGATGGATTCATCTTTCGGATCATACTTGAAAAAAGACATGAACAGTGTTCGGCTAGCCTGTCTATGTTGGAACTGCGCAAGAGCTCCAAAGTTTCGTGACAGTAGTGGGTGTTATGTAACAGCTGTGACGATTGACCGTACCCAATTACAAAACACAACACACTTTCGTAATTAACCATTTATTTGCATCTATATACAAAATGATGATTGGCAATGAGCCAATCAATATACATACAAAAGGTGCTAGAATCTACTACTGTAGATTCTAGGCTTCAACCAAGCTAGGGAACGGGGACTGTCCGCAATTCACCTGCCATCTTGTACGATTGAACCATCTTCTCGCCGAGGATGTTCAAACGTACACTTCCTTCTGAACACAGAAGGGCGACCATCGCGTGAGCCACGCTTAGGCCAACGTGCATCTGTAGTCGTCTTGTACGAACTACTGCACAACTACTTTCCACACGGGGAAAGATCCACTCTTCAACTGTGAAGAGAACGAAGCTCGCATCGGGCGACGCTTCGGAGTCAGGGGGAGCCCTCTAGCACGTAGAGTTAATCGTCCCGCAACGATCTCGGGAAACTCCCCTCTCGTATTCCGAGAGAGACCGATCTGCTCACATCCCGTGAGCTCGGCAAAACTCCAGACTGACTGATCAGCTCGATCAGAAGACGGATCGACAGTAGATGGGGGCGTGGCTTAGGTTTACGACCATAAGAGAGAATCTCAAGTACCTAAGGTTACACCTAGGGATACTAGTCTGCACCTGCATGCACTTTTACAACCTGCACGCGGCCCCATCTCAATCCGAGATATTACTCACAAGTTATCTAAACTTGGATGATACAGTAAAACTGACTTTGGTTACCCATATACTACATCTACAACATCCTAGAAGAAGGAAGGCATAATTTTCAATTTTTTTCCAAGTACACTCCCCCGCCCCCTCTCCGTTCTGCCGTCGTTCTAATTGGTCAGCTCTGAAAAACTGTCTGGAAAGTGGTGAAACCATCGTAACTGCTCCTCCTTTGCTCAATTAGGGCAACACCCTTAGATTTGGCGACAAACTCGGTTTCCCGCAGTAGTTTGACCAATTGACACGAATACTGTGCTAATTCGCCACGGAAAAGTCTGGCGGCTTTGGAGCATCGAGCACCACGGACTCTGAAAAGGCGTGCTTAGATCTAGAAGAGGATTCTACGATAAGGTCGAAGGTCGAAGAAGAAATGTATCTGATCAAGAGGCAGGCGGATCCCGTGAGAACGCCGATCGACCCGCGATTAGCATCGGAGGGTATGATGCCCTAGGCAAGCTAGATGACCTTTTCCCGCGGCGCGATTAGCGCGCTATTTTCACGGTACGCCGACCACACCCCCCCCCCGGGGCCGCTGAGTCTCTAGTCGTTCAGCGGAGACGGCATTAGCGTTTTAGGACAGCACCGATGAGACACTGATCGCTCCAATGCGCTAATCAAGAAGGGGTCCCATTTCTCGGATTCTAGGCCATTGCTTCTACACCATATTTCGTGTAAATGTCTGAAGTCAAAATATGTCCAAAATCCCAAAAAGTACCAGTTTCAAAGCTAGGACGTCACCCGGAAGTGGCGCGCAGAACCCCCGCCCGAGTTCTGTGGTCAGTATGCGAGGGCTACCGAGGAGTGGCCTCGGCCAAAGAAGCTAGTTCGAATAGGGACTCTGAACGTAGGATCGCTAACTGGGAAGTCCCGAGAGGTTGCTGATCTGATGACGCGCAGGAATATCCAAGTCCTATGCCTTCAGGAGACGCGATGGAAAGGTGCTAAGGCCAGGGAAATCGGGGAAGGTGTCAAACTCTACTACAATGGAGAAGACACCAAGCGGAACGGCGTGGCCATAGCGGTAGCGGAGTCGCTTAAGGACTATATTTCCGTGGACGCATCGCAGACCGGATAAGTTCTGATTGTTCTGGTTGGTTCTAACTCCATTTTGCGCGAATTTTGGAACGTCAACTCGAAATGCAAAAATTTGTCACCACGAGGAATCGAACTAGGGACCCTTTTCTGGTATTCAGAGGGCCGTTCAGGAAAAATTAACATGGTTCTGTGGTCCCCGCATATATCATGCAAAAGACCGTTTTCAAAAAGCTTGTCACGCCCTGAAAGACCTTCCTGGTGAGATGAGGATGCTGAGATGGGCCTGCGGCTGGACGCGGCTGGACAGGGTCAGGAACGAGGAGGTCAGAGCGGTCATGCAGACTGCCCAGAGCGGTCATGCAGACTGCCCTGTCCAGCTGAAGGTGCGAGAGCAGCGTCTGCGATGGTATGGGCACGTGCTAAGGAGGCCACAGGATCATCCGATAAGAAAGCGATGGACTTCGAAGCGACCGCGAGGAGCCCCAAAGAAGAGGTGGAGAGACGTGATCAAGAAGGATCTAAGTGAAGTCACGGCCACAGCAGAGGACGCCCTGGACAGAGCAAAGTGGCGACGACTGACAACGTATCCTGCGGCTGCGCGGTTCTAACGCTAGGGAGGAGAATAAGAAGAACTAGTAATCAAAAATGACTGTCATGGAATGTAGTAAGTGGGTGTTATTGACAAAATAAACTACCAAAAAGGTCCATGATTTTTTTTTCTCGGTTTCTCGGTAAACGGTTTCCTTTCTTTAAAAAGCGTGAAATTTTTACAATTAAGACCAATTCCTGGACCAGTTCAACCTTTGATTGTTACAAAATAGACTCTCTCGAGCACTGTTTATCTCCCTCAGCGTTCCTCCCTTTTCGGAGTGATAGTTCTTCGGCAAACTGAGCCCGCTGCCCAGGTTAACTCTCAACTGGCGCGGCTTCGCCAGTTCAAACATACTATTGTATTTTTCGAAGGAACAAAATAACATGGATCGGCTAGTCAGTGGATCTTCGGCAATGGGATGCATTGAACTTGGTTGACCTGGGTGGGCTTGTCTCGAGAGCAGGAGGGTTAATGAAGTGAGCGGCGAAAACTGCTGCTGCTCCACCTTGCGAAGGGCATACTAATCAGTGGCAAAACAAAACTGAATTGAAGTATGACAGAGAATATGGGAAGAGCGACGAATACAATCTCAGGAGTACAAGACGTCAAGAAATGGAGCTCGGGAAACGTGGATTCTTGTCGGTTTTAGACAAAGCAACAATGCAGTTAACTGTTTGGGAAGAATCTCAATGTTTAAAGGAAAACGCCCTTCCACATGTTTCGTGACCCGTTCGAGCTTACGAGCACGCTGGTGAATATGCAGCCATACGCTAATGGTAAAGTCCCTTAGCTACTTTCACTAGCGTAAGTCTGAAGTTGAAATGTGGGATTTGCCTCGTGTACCTTTGGGCTTGCTCGTGCGGTTGCCAAAGCGCAGCTTATCCAGAACAGAGAGGCTTTTTTCCACGCTGCAGTAACGGACAGACTGTTTAGGCCTTGTTCAAGCGAAGGGAGCTGGAAACGTCTCGAGCCATGTGTTTGAGCGTGCAACCTTATAAAAAAGAAATCCTAAGAACAAGGAGAACCTGAATATAAAAGTCACATTCTCATGACTTGACTGTTACTCTCTAGCAATAAGCGCTCACACATTCATTCCTAAATTACACTATTGATATGGTATTGAAATGTCTAATTCTCCATCTCAAGGTGACTGTCTTGCTTTTCAGATGCGCATGTACCCGTCATCATCACGAAGTGAGGTCGATGTGAGCACTTCGTCGCAACTACAACTCCCAACTGTGTTCTCCATCTCTACCACTACCTACCTCCCACCCTCTCACTCCCCCATCGAGTACCTTCCGAACGGTTATTCTCCGCCTCCACAGGATCCTGTGTATCAACGAAAGAGCTCTGCGCAACTCTACAGTCCACAGGCCAGCAAGTCTAAAAAACGTATCCAGGTAACACTCAATCGCACCTAATTGATCAGCAGTCTCAGTATTCATTTAGTTTCAGGCGGTGCCTTGCCATTCCAATTCCATATGCGCCAACTGCAAAACGACAGAAACCACTCTTTGGAGACGGGCCAAAACCGGCGAAATTGAATGCAAGTGAGTGAGAACTCAGGATGTCACAGAGATGACTTGAAAACGCCATTGATCAAGTGTCGTATCATTGTAATTTACGAGGTGAAGATTCGCTCTCGTATCACGTGATGGGCGCGGTCAGTCGCAAATACACTGCTCTGCACAATTATACGTCCACCTGAAAAGTTCTTGAAAATTCGCATGATAGGGTGTTTCTGAAAAAGCCTTGAAAGAAAAATGTGCTCAATATAAATAGGATTTTTGGTAAACACCAACTTCCATTTCGAAAACACGAAAATTTTTGTTATTCTTAGAAAAGGGCCACTTTGCCGATTGTGCAAAAATATAAATCCACCCCATGTTTCTTGGTTGAACTTCATTGTTTCTTGGCGGAATTATCAGGTTGTTATCGATTCATTTTTTTTTGATTTTCGCGATGATTTTTTGTATTCACATGTGCCCTACTCATTTTGCGTCGAATGTGATCATACATACCCTCCCCTTCAAAAAGCGAGAAAGTGTCGGGTGCAGACCATGCACCACAAGTGACGACGGCCTTCACAAAATGTTAATGTTTTCTGCCAATGAAATGATTAGCTGTTGTTGTATTCTATCGATTGTCACTAATTACAACTATATCATTTACCAGAAATCAGCTATCACTATGAACAACTTCTAACCAGATTTACTTGGAGGCCGTCGTCAGTTGTGGTGTTTGGTCTGCACCCGACACTTTCTTTTTTGAAGGGGAGTTACATAGTTTCTCTAAAACATGCCAAACGGTGTCCTTCGAGAATAAGTTTCAATGATCAATGAAGGTTGCATTTTTAAGCGCCACTTGGAGGAATAGGTTGGCTTTCCTACAATGCGACTGTAATCTCAACCGAACCGCTAAAAAAAGGTCCATGTTTCTTCTGAAATCCATATGCCGCAAGAGTTTCGACGAAATTTCAATCAATCACATAAACAACAGATCGCGTGGTTTGACTGCCTGGCAAATTTCCTCACTCTTGGACAGATTTGGCCCTCTCCCTGAGCGCGAGTTTTTCTTGTGCCATCACCTAAAGAAGGAAAATCGATAACAACCTTAGTTCCAACAAAACATAAGTGGCTTTATAATCTTGCTAAAACGACAAAGTGGCTCTCTCCTAAAAAATGAAGAGGAAAAGTCCTCGTGTTTTCGAAATTGAAATTGTTCAGGTACCAAAAGTCCTATTTGTATTGCTCACATTTTTTCCTCAAGGCTTTTCAGAAAAACCAAATCATGCGGATTTTCAACAACTTTCAGGTGGAAGTGTATCTATCTGCCCAAATCTTGGCAATTTCATTAGAATGTTATAATGCTTTATGGAAAAATGATTTATGACAAGACCAATTACCGATTACAGACGATTAATTTGAAACTAAGGTTTTCTTTTTTTAAATACTAATAACACTAGATTCTGCCTAATAAAATCTGGATGTGGACCGCTAGGACGGGAAGCGACTTTTTGCTTCTTGCATCGGGACACACATGCTCACCACTGATCGTGAGTGGACCTGGGGTTCCCGCAGCGAAGAAGTTGCGCGCTGCGAATAGCGGAAAAGCTGCTCTCTGTTCTAGCGACCCAAACTCATGAGGTTTCCCAATAGGTCGATAGAATAAAATGCACTAAACGGGTGAGATGTTAGTGCAATTAGTCAGAAGGCCAGATAGAATTTCCAGCACTCCGAGAACCAAGTGGGAGCATTCCCGTCGCCAGCATTTGTGACAGATGTCCGACGGTTGTTTCGGTTTTTCATTTTTTTTTACCAAAACAAATGCAATTTTTTGTTCTTTTCGTTCTTATCGTGAACGATGGGTCTCAAGCCAGTGAATTATGGCTGAGATAGAATCACGATTTTTCCGGAAAGATTCTTTCAAATTAGACTTCTCGCCCTTCTCGTCTTATCCGTACACACATCAGTGAAGTAGACAGGGGCCTCAAGTGCGCGACATGTGGCCTTTTCGTGGCCAAAGGTGCGCTCGTTGCAGCGCCCTGGGGCTGCCAATCCTTTCTGAGCTCCGCCACCGCCTGTGCTCCGCCCCTCAGCAGATCATCGTTCGATTATCATTTTGATAAGGTATGCCACTTCGAGCGCGTATCCTAATAACTTTTCATGGAATGCGTTATCAATCAAGGCTTGATCTTGCTGGTATGATGGTGGCTATGGTTTAACATGTGCAAACGACCTCTTAGTTGGTTGCTAGCTCGTCCATTATCGGAGGTCAACGGGCAAAGAAAGGGTCCCATTTTGCGCGTTCTTGACGGATTTCTTTGCTTTTTTTTTCGCCACTGGGGCATTATTCAGCATCTCCACTTCCACTATGAACCAATCCAATCTTATCGTAATCCCTCGCTCCAATTGAAAGCCAACCCGTCATTTCTATTTCATGTTCGATGTTTTACTTTCCGTTTACTTTACCTTAGCGCCACTTTGGGTTTCGTTTAGCGCGAGCTCATTAATTAGCTTGCCTCTCACTAATTTCACTTCGCAGAAATATTAGGCGTTTCAGAAAGTTCTGTCGTTTTCGACCCCGAATTTAAATGCATGTCTCGGCTTAAACTGAACCTTTCGAGTTGATAAAAAACCATTCGAAAGCGCGAATCTTTTTCTATAAGAAGCCGTTCAACTGGGTACGTTTGTTTGGAATGCTGGACCTCTGGAGGCGATGAACTGAGGGAAGGTCGTTTTAGCATCATGTTGGGTTTTGATGTATTTCTCTTCAAGGAAGCTATCGAGATCGTCAGAAATTTGACAGTAGATAGACAAAGGTCTACTAAGTAAGATGTTCGCAGAATCACTCTGAAGTCCAGCTGGTCCAACTTGTGAAGGGTTGGCGGTGCGATGTGCGTCCTTTCAGGGATGTGTCCGTTCCTTTATAATGAGGAATGCTGGACCCATGTCTTGGAGTTTTTGGTGAATTTTGACGTTAATGTTAAAGATTGCTTTTCCACTGTAACAGTTCCACCTGATACGGAAGAACATGGCCAGCCGCTGACCCCATGAAAGCTGCCACAACCCTCCTCCAGCACAGTTTAAATTCTGCAAAGTTTGTAGAGCTTCATCGCCGTCGATCTATTCAGCAAAGCTTCGTGGACTATAGAGAAGAATCCGCTCTTTATTGTACGTCGCAAATCTGTAGAAAAACGAGTCGCTTTATCACATAAAACAAGCTACAATTTGATGGACGACCCTTCAAATTGGTGATTTGTCGCGGCACGCCCCTATCGAATTTTTTTGGACTTTCCAGCTACTTCCGTATAGCTTGGCTGTACAAACCATATACGCCCAGGTTGGGCAGAACCTCCTCTATGGTCCTTACGCAGTGCTTCAATCAGAACTTTTGGCTAATCGGTGGCAACGTCCGATATCCGACCACTACTCTCATCATACCCAAGGCTCTCGCTTTTATTATAATAGCTTTTTGAACAACTACGCGAATCAAGTCCAAGTGCATCTTTAATATCTTGAACTGTCCCGCTACTTTCAGGTCTATTTAAAGCTAGAAAAAGAAAGTCATGCCAACTTGCTCATCGAGTATACCGCATTCAAAGCTTTGAAAAAGTTATAAGAAAATGTTAGAGGACAAATTAAACTTAATTAAATTAACTTTATTAATTAATTAAGCTTTGAATATAGCAGAAAAGCTCTTCAAAACGGTATTCATTACGATTGCAGTTTTTTTGGATTCAAGGAAAATGGAGCATCCAAAAGTGGAGTGTCAGAAAACGACAGAACTTTCTGAAATGCCCAATATTAGCTGTGCTCCGATATCGGTGTGCGTGGTTTCTCGAAAAATTTCAGGCTAGGCATCATTTAGATTTTTCAGAAGTAACCGTCACTCTATCTATATAGGCCCGCTGGGTTGACATCAGGATCATCAGAGAGATATCATAGATTAGATCTATCATTAAACTCCTGGATATATTACGAGGCATCCGCGCTGCACACCATTCTTGAGCCTTCTTTCATTTCTTCACCGTACAAGGAATCTCATTTTCAGCCCACAGTAGTATCTCCTTCGGAACATCCATGGTAAAGCCTTCTGAGCTTATCGCGACGTCTCTTTGAAGGCGAAATTCACATCCAAAAGGTAGCCCATTAAAATTTTGGCAGCGGTGGTCAGTGGTGCCAGGATGAAAAAAACGTGAGAAACGGCCCAAAGCCCGAGAAATTGACCCCTTCCTTGCTCGTTGATTTCGCACTTGATGCGACTTTCATCGGTGTTGCCCTCTTCAACGCTAACCATCTTTGCTGAACGGCTAGACACCTACTTGATTAGGCAGTCGGTGGGCGGGCAACGGCGATAGCGGCGCGGGGAGGGCCATGCTGGATCGCTGGGGGCGGATTGAGTGGCAATCACACTTTTAGGGTGTCCACTTCTCTTTCTACCTGAAAAGCTTATCTGTCTCGACCGCCGACCTTATCGTGAAATCCTTCTTTAACAAAAATGAGCGCTGTTTGTCAAGTAACACGGTTTCAGTCCATATCATCGCAGAAGAGGAGAAAGGGAACGGAGATTAATCCTGCCCTCCTCATTAGTTTCAAGAATCCTGGGGGGGGGGGAGCATTTCACCCCTTTTATTATTCCAGTTGGAAGTATAAATAACGATCTATACCATTGTCACGATGCAAAGTTCAAAGGTGGAGAGTTTCGTCATATGTTATGTTTATTACATGACGAGCATGTATCATTGGCCAGTAGGCAGAAGAAACAAAAGACAAGGAAACACGAGGGTGCAACGACAATAATATGAAACAACAATAAACAATAGAAGGATGATGTGAGCGACTGTTTGAAAAATGAAGGAGACGAGTAGTGCCTCAGCGGAGAACTTTTTTTAGGTATGATTTCAGCACGCTTGCTGAGCATATATCATTGCAAACTGTGCTTTGCATGCCGTGAATACTTTATTTTCATACACACCTTGTGCACCGAACGGTTTCTCCAACATTCCCCTTAGTACTGACTCGAAAAGTCAGTCGATGATGTCTGATGTTTCT